TCATCCTTCGCGTGTATTTTTTAATAACAGTTTGCGATCTTATCTATAAATGATGTTTATCAACTCATTTGTTTGGTTTTTAGTGACTGGGAGTCTGAATCTAGTTTTTATGAACCATCATATATGCTATGGAATAAATCTTCCCTTCATTTCCGTATATCATTCTTAACAATTATTAAAAGTCCATCCAATACGGTTTATTTTGGAAGAATTTATTTCATACAGTCGCGTAAGCAATTGGACAATAGGACGCGAAGCGAGGCAAAGTGAACCAGACAAGACGAGTGTCCCTACCTAAAACGATCAGGCATGACTACGTATTGATAGCCAGAAAAAATAAGCTGTACATATGATAAGCCAGTGAGGAATTCGCGCTTACACTCAAGTAAAACCAAACGGAGTTACAAGCGAATAATTGACAAGATCAAAAGATGTGTGAATAATAACTCGAAAAGAATAGATTGTGATTAGTTTGTCCAAACCTTGGGACAAGCCGTCTAGGCTTTTGACGTATGAATGCACTCTACAGGTTCAGGTTTTTATACTTGGCTTCAAAGCACATTCTAAATATGAGGGGTGGTGATATTACGCATGGTTGCCCCAACCGGAATACGTGGAGCAAGGTAAAAGCCTTCATTTTAGTGGCTAATAGTCTAGCCCCTTTACCACTGACCTAGTGCTGCACCATTGATATCCTATTTTCAATAAAGATTCAGTGTGATTAATTATAATATTCAGGAATAACAGGGAATGATAAGAATTGGCTTAGTGTTTACCACAGCGATGCTTATGAGAGAACAAAAGTCAAAAGAAACGCGATTTATTGCTGTTGTGCAGGAATGCGGCTGTTACCCATTGCAGTAGCAGTATTTATCGGTGGTTCTACAATAGTCCAGTAGATTTCATTGACATAGTAAATGAAACTCTAGGTGATAAATATTTCAGCCAGTACGACAACTACCAGCCTAGTAAGCAATCGTTATCGAATGAATTTCTCAATACTGTTTATACCTGAATGACTTCTGTCCAATCAGAAGTTACTTTGGTATTCACGTCAATAATGTTCCAAGTTGCTTTCAAGTAAATGTTTTACCATTCCTAATTGCATAGAAAATATACCTACTTATGATCTGTTTAGTGTTATTTTATGAAGTGTTGTGGAAAAACAAGTTCAGAGTAGCCAGTGTTAAAGAATTAACTCTATTTTATACCATAGGATATTGTTTAATGAATGAAGGCCTATTGTTTTTTTTCCGTCATATTTCAGACGACTATTGATATGGATAGTGAAGAAGTTGTTAGCACTAGCAGCACTATTCCATCGATAGATCAAGATACTACTACTATTTCGAACAAGCATAAAACAACAACTACTGAATATCTAGGTCAATGTCTTGCACGTTGTCTAGCTAGTCAAGCACATCTCTTACCACTTCTAGGACATATAGCACCTGTCTATTGGTATTATGATCAAGCTTTAAGTTTAAATCCATTGCCTAATTTAGTTATTGCTATTGAACCGGAACCATTGGCCAATTTAAATGCTTCACAACCGGGATTAGTGACCACTGGCAATTGTCGTTTCATAAATCCAGGTCGATTTGGACAAGTGGAATATTCCAACGAATTATCAGGGTTTAAAAAGAAATATGCTTTCAAGGTTTATTATCCAAAAACTGAAATTGTTGAAGATAGTTGTCTACCTTAAATACTGACGCATAATTTTTCTTAAAATGTATATTTTGTAACACAAAAGATTAATTATTGATAAAAATCCTTTAATTCTAGATTTCATCTTATGCTTGAAAATGAACTAATCTGTTTGTTTTTTGGTGGGAATTTAATGAATACTAGGTTGTATTCCTCACAATTGCTGTTTTCAGTTAAGCTACCATTAAGAATTGGGGAGCACTAAACAGTTGCTTCGCTCTAATGTGAAATTCCCAGAACCTTCAGTTCTCACAGCGAACACTTACTTATCAGAATCATTGAGTAAGCGTTTAATGATACAGATTAAACTTCAATCAATTCGCAATGTAATATAACGATCATTCAATAGGATTAGTCACAACTGATTCACTTGCGATATATCCACACTTATCACGACTTCTTTTTAGAACTTCAGGAACATCGGTCACGTTTGAAGTAATAACCATTTCTCTGACAATGAAATCTAATAATCGTCGTGACTGAAGATATTATTCTTGAGTATATTACCTCCGGTAGCATTTCCTATACTTGGAGCATTAAAGTACTGATTTTCTCTATTTGTGACGGCGATATTTAACTGTGTTACGGTTATTTCAACTAATAAATAAGATTTATCACAGTTGCATACAGAAGAATGTACGTTTTTACCAATGAACTTTGAATATTGTTAAACCAATGTAGTGACGTATTAGCGAAATATTTGCTCAGATGATTAGATAATTAGACTTGATACCCAATGGATCAACTATAATCGCTTATCCATAAAGTTTGACTGGAAGTCATAGATATGAACCACTTTTAAAAGCCTCATTCTGAAGCCACTCCTCAGTTCGACGAAGCAATCGAAAAGATTCTCAATGAGGTAGTTTAAACAGAAGTGTCAAAAGATCTGTTAAACACCTAACTACTCCATCGCTTTCAAGTCGGTTAACAAGCTTCTCAAACTGAAAATAAGATTCGATAACTAGCTTTGCAGACGCTCTTATTAAGTACGATGCATCGGTCATACAAATCCTGTCGACTTATCACGTCAACGCGATGTAGAAACCAAAAGCCAAATACAGCTTACATTAACAATGCATTGACTTCATACATGCATGTGGTAAGCAGACTGGCAATTAAAAAACAGTGAATATGAATATTGGTTGGCGTTTAACCAAAGTCTAGGAACAGAGTTATTCAGTTTTCATATAACGCGAAAAGTGTACAAAATATAGGTGACAGGCACAAGATATTTTAACAAGGTCACAGATGACAGATACATAGGTTATAATATAACTAACTAGGTTAGAGTAACATTTAATGACTAGATAAAGGTAGACTGCACACAGTTGCATCAACTTACCTGGAGAACCATTTAACCTCGCCGCCGAAGTTCTTTGAGATATTACTTATTGTATAAAACTGAAATCATGTTAGTGCTTTACGATCCCAAGCTCCCATCCATCGACAGCTACATGTTTAGTTGCGTTGAGATCTTAGAGGTATCACTCACACTTTTTTTTATGGTCGACTATGCTCCCCACCGTAGCTGCTACCTTGACGTGGCTGTCGGGCATGCCTGACGTGATGACCCAGTTGGCTAGAACATATGTTCCTGTAGGTTCTACCATTCCAGGCAGGTAGGTTAGAGAACGATGAGACTAAAAGCAGCTACTCAAGGTCTGAGGACGAAGTCATACTGCTGACTGAAGAGGGATGTGATAACAGTAAGGTGTTTCACTCGGATAACCAGCATCAGCAGCGATTCTGCCTTTTCACAAAGAAAAGGTCGACCCTAAAAATGTCACACCTCACCTTACCTCACGGATTTCCGTCTCCGGTGGTAAGGCCTTTTAAACAAGAACGGAGCTAACACTTTAAATACTTCACATAAAAAGGCCGTGCATGACCGGCCTCAAGCAGTTGTCCCTTGGACTCTGCGGTCACGCTCCTAGGTCTCTAAGACCAAAGCTAATGTACCTTCTTTTTGAGGTTCTTCAAGAAACACCCTTCCATGGTGTGGGCAGCCGAGAAGTGACATCCACCCTCATACCCGTAACAGCACGCGAGACCTAATTGGTCAAAATCAGTCGGCTATGCTCACTAGCCACTACAGCATCCTTAAGATGAGAGAGGATAAAACGATAAGAGTAGATAAACCCCTGACCGAACAAAACTATCGTTTATGAAGGAGTTTGAGAAACCCACATAAGCGTTACTGAAACGTAATGCTAAAACCACACTAGGCTTTAGAACCAAGATGGAATACAACTACACGTATATCGTATACATAGTTACTGTTTCGTTACTTTGGTCGATGTACCAATATCATGTCGATGTCAACGTTGACCGATTTCACACCTTTCACGATCACTAGTACAAAAAGCAGCAACATAGACTAGTGCATACACACGTCATTCATGCTAGTCCTTCGCCCACATGTTTACATTATGAATCCGTGTTAATTTTCTCATGTACACTAGTTCATATTTACATGCCTTTACGTTGCCAATATGCATAGTATGTGTTTGGTTTTCTTTTAAAGGACGGCATCCCAGTTTCAATTATACTGTATTAAGTGTTTTTCTCCTCAATACTTGTCAAACAGTCTCTCCAGACATTTTTTGAATATGATATATTCTTTCAAAAGGATTTTTCTTTAAAAATCAATGTCGAATTATGCTCAAAAGTTTGGTTAGAAATACAAAGATTGTATGTACAAAACATTTACAAAGAATTGCTTCATAGTTTACAAAATATCATTCATAAACTATGGTTAATTAAGGCGAAATCTGAATTACATCGTTATAAAAAAAATTATTTTCATGCATTCAATATCCATATTTAGCATTCAGAGAAGTGATACCATCCCCGACTTGATCTGAAAATCCAAATGGAATGATGAGAAATATTAAATATTTAACAATTAAGAGCTAGTTTCTATCAAAATCTAGTTATATGAAAGTTGCTTTTTGTGGATTGCTGATCCGTCCTGATATAGGACACCTCAACAATGAGCGTACACGACCTTAAAACCGGTCATTTGGTCTTACGCACGAATGCCTAAACTAGAGAAATAAATATACATTGAAGGAGCATCATGGGCATCTGTTCGCGATACTTCGAATACACTGAACACTTTAGTTACTACTAATCAAGTCGCCTACTAGGATCTCAGACTTCGACAGTTAGATACTGAACGGGAAATGTAGAAGAAGCATTTCGAAGATTTGTATTTGCGATAAAAACATAGGTATACATGACCAGGAACTTCACTAATAGTTTTAGCCAACGCTTCACTTTTCGACACAGATAGGTAGGATTGGTCTCCTAACACTTGACTTTCGATCTATTTTGAGTGGGATTGGAATGTATCCACGAGTAGGTTCAGTTAGAAAGGTCATGCTTACATCACTTATGTTCAGTAATGCTCTATTTATCTTGCCGGATCTGATTTGCATACCTCGTTTAAGGTTCTCCTCAAACTAACAAATTATAAGTTTTGATTATCAACTGCACTTACTGATAACTAACAAAACCTTTTTAAATTTACTCGATAAACTAGGACACAGTTCATCTAGAAAGCTTTATCGCAAATGATACAAGTATCAACAGTTTGACTTCCATTCTAGCAATCTAAATGAAATTCATGATATTAAATTGTTTAGTGTACAATATATTAAATTCAATGAGATTTCGTGCGGGTCAAAGCTGGCATTCGTCGAGAAAACCTCGGATCTATGTCCAGGTTCTATGGTATTCACAATTCCTAGTTAGATGTATTTAGAATGGAATCGATTATTTTAAAAACAACCAGTATGTCAATTAAAGCGTCTAAATATGTGTAAATGTGTGAATGATAAAAATGAAATAATATAACTATTTACTGACCTGATGGAGGAAACCATTCAACATAATCGTCCGGATCATTTACTGGATAAGCTTCAGTTATCTTACTAACCTGATTATAGGAATAAAATAGAATCAGTTTAATATTTACTGAAGAATCAATCATTAGGAAAATGCTGCAATTTCTTTTATAAAGTTCACGAGTAGTAGTAGTATTACGGTCATATCAGTAGACGTGACCAGTGAAGTTCAACCTGCTCGGATGTAGGCAGTGTCTACCGAAGACTGTGTATGAGGTTGCGCAACTCCGTGAATTTGATCAAGTTAGACATTAACACAGTTAGGTACCGGCTCAGTGGTCTGACAGTTAGGGCGTTCGCGCAAATACCGAAGGTCCTGGGTTCGAATCCTGTGGGGTGCAGGAGTCGTGGATGCGCACTGCTGAGGAGTGCCATACCAGGACGAAACGGCCGTCCACTGCTTCCAGGTTTCTAATGATGGCCTAACATTGATCGACTCATGGTTTCAAAAATATCACTAGACATCATCAATCATAAAATGTGATTATTCCGTAAATATTGAAAATGTTCTTTTTATAAATTAAATCAACCCACATAAGCAAACAGCATTGTTTTCGGGTCAATCTTTACTTCAATTGGTAAATTCGCGCTTTGTTAATTAATCATTTTTCACCTAATTCCATTTTTAGCGAATTGTCTTATACTACTATTTAATATTCAACAACTAGTCTTATTTTTAATAAACTCTGAGTATATAGTGTGTAACGTATGGTGGATTTCGTGTAATATTCTTAAGTAATTACATAAATTCCCTTTGTTTATTGTTATAACTAGAGCCTGTCAAAATTTTAACAATTGATTTTATTTATTTTCATATTTCTTAAATCTTTGTTGAAATGCAACAGATTTCATATTTTTGTGCCCATATTCTTCAGTTGAATGTCGACAATCAATTTTGATGTTAGACATAACTACTGAGTGTTAGTTACATTCTGTTGTATTGTAATTGATTTTTATGTCATTAATACAAGTATCATTTTCTCTTCCATCCATATAGACGCGTTAAACGTTTGAGGTATTGCATGAATTGAAGGTTGTGACCAATTTATACATATATTTTGTTATCCCTAGAGATAAATCAACGTCTATGAACTTGCATTTAATGCGTATCTTAATGGCGAATAGAATAAATACATAAAATGATATTTATATGGGTTTATGAAACGCACATCAAACCAATAACCAATAAACGTAATCAGACAGGATTACATAACTTATCATCATCATCATCATTAAAAGTATAAAGTGTTAGTGAGATGATCGATTAGTAGGTATAGAACTAATTAACTAATAAAGCAGTTTAAGTCTATTTTGAATTTCAAAACTTAAGAAATTAAGCTTATTTTAATAATGATGAATGATAAACAGTAGAATGTTCTAAGATTGAATCATCATCCATTTCACCTGCTTCAAATCGACTTATCCCTGTTGAAATGTTGCTCATGCACAGTTAAAAATAAGTACTTGATGAAAGACTTACAATATTGTTGTGTCAATGATAAGATTTTTTGGTGGTGTACATGTTGCTGTTTATCTAGTTCAGTTCAAGTGGATTTTTTTTAGTAAACTGAGGCTGAATTAACGTGATTTACAAGAAAAGTATGGTAGAATGAAACAAAAACATTTTATTAAGGATACCACAGTAATATAACGGTACTTGTCGTTATATTGCATTTTCAGATAGATTTAAAAGCATCGTTGAAGTAAGGTATGATATGAATATCAAATTGTTAGGATATTCTATCCAATATCCTAAGAGAATTATTGGTCAATTCCTATTGAATAATTCCTACTGGTCAGTTTTATGGTCGTCCTAGATATCAATGTCACGTACTCTAATGTTATTTCTTATTGGTTGTCCTGACTATCAATGTCACTTCAAATGTTGCTTCCTATTGGTCGTCTTAACTGTCAATGTCACAGATTTCGATGCTGTTTCCTATTCAACCAGAATGTATGATTACGCATTATCTGTAACGTTTTATGACCAGGACAAGAACCAGGACCCGGATCCCTAGTCCGGGATCCTGATTCTCTTCTGGATTCGGACCTCGTACTTTCTGGGTGCTTGTAGAATACAGGTTCTACTTCATATCAAGTCTTCTTACTTTTTACTCAATATGGGGGGGGGGGTTGGGATAATCGGATTTGAGTAGCTATGTCGTGTCGCCGGATCGTCGATCCTCACTCTCGTTTTCCGACTAGGTAAACTCATAATAGTTCAAGCATATCAAAATGACATGTTTACGTGCAGGCGTAACACAAATATACGATTCACTTAGAAAACAACATGCTATTATTGCATGGTGTTAGGATTCTTTGGTTTAAACCTCTGACATCGTTTCAAGTTTGAAACTGTACAGAGGAGTCTCCAGCTAGGACGGAACAGATTGGTAGTTTTTTAAGGTATTCCAGCGAAAATCAGTTTGTGATAAAATCAAATCATTAATAATAATAATAATAATATTAATAATAACAATAATTTGTTGAAACTACTTACGAGAGGTTTATGAGATTGAGATGAAAGCATAGTTGGACCTAACACTTTGACAGGTTGATTTTTATCAACAACTGAATAAATGAAAGAATAAAATATTATTAGAAGTATAGTTTACTTGTGCAATTGAAACTATCAATTAGATTATTGAATGTAGAGATTTTAGTTTTTCGTAGGACTCACCCCAGTGATCTTGCGATCAGTTTAAATAACTGTGTAGCAACACTTAACATCATGCACTCACTAGAATGTACGTGAACAAATATCTACATTTACTTCAATTGACGATTTAAAAAAATTTAAGTCACAAACTGACCCAAATTTGTATTGTATAAATCTCAACAAATTGTTTAATTTTCTATTAATAAATGTTAATTTCGTTACTGTAACGAAAACCCAGTAGAAATTTTCTCCAGTTTTGCAGTTCTGTGTTATTTTTGCTCTTTTCTAACTGACTATTCACATTTAGTTTCCTATTTTCCCCATGTTCTAAGGTCATGTTGAATATCAAGTGTTTTCTGCACTCAAAACTTGCATCGTTGGGAGGATTATGGTTGAACCGGCACTCGCATGCAAGCACTGCTACAGAGTCCCATACTGTATAATTGTTATGTTTCTATTTCATGTTGTGATTAGGTTTGATTTGCATGTCTATCAACCACGCCTAGTTGAAATACAATGACTAGTGGAGGATGGTTGTTGTCGTCTGAACAGAGAGTCTTGGAACAATAAGAAGTTGACAGTTGACTCACAGTTACTAGTGCTGGTTGGGGTGTGTGTTTGGTCATGTTAGGGTCACTAAACAAAGTAAACAGCTGTCCAAATTAGAATCAAGATTCTGATGAGTAACTGGGCGGGTAATTTTAGTCAGCAGTTAAGATGAAAAAAATATATAATAATAATAATCCACAAAATACTTCTGCGATTTATCATTCGTTTAATTTTTGTTCTGTTAAGTTAAACCACTTGGCCCGTTAAGTTCTATGATGCTAGAAAAGTCAGTTGGAGAACAAGTTGGACTGAAAGTAGAGACTTAAGATTCGAGGGCAAAGGTACACTGCTAACTGTATATGAGATGTGAGGCTTGTAAGATGTTTCTTTCCAACAACTGGGATCTTTAACGATAATACTTTCCAACAAAGAAAGGGGACGGTTAAACTGGTTGGCACTAAAAAAGCACACCTCACAGAGATAACGCATTCAACGACATCTATTTGATTCGATAAGTGGCTGATCTGAAACTATTATCCACTGCGCACAGAAAGTCACGTTTTCAGGCTGTCACAAGTACTCCTAACCAAATTTCTTTGTCAGATACCTCAATAAGTGAATTATTTAAAACTTACAAAATTCAGTTTCCAGTTCGGTTTCTTCCACGTTTTGTTCACTACTTATGGTTATATTGGAATTGTCTACAGCACTAACATTATCAATGACAATTTTCATGTTCTCAGTAGTAGTGGTAGTAGTTGTTGTAGTAGTAGAAATACTGGAAGAAGTTGATTGACAACTAGAATCGAAACATTTATTCAATTCAGATTGAGAATCAGATATGACATTATCAATCTGGTTCTCTTCTTCATCTATTCTCATCTTTATTTGTTGTAACTCTACTTTTTTCTCAGTATCCTTCATATCAGTGTCACCGTCATTGTCATTGTCATCGTCATCCTCCTCATCATTCTCCACTTCAAATGGTTCATCCATTTCAATTTTCTTCTGAGATACATAAAGTGTCTAAAAAAACGGAATGCACATACATACACACATCAAAAGCATGAATAAACAAAGTCCATTATTTTAACAACAGTAAAAAAAAAGAACCCAGGGAAGTTTTATGGTTTAAGTGGAATAGTGCTGAGACTAGCAAAGACATCCAATGCAAAAGCATTTTTTTTCTATTTGAGACTGGTCAACCCCAGTAGTAACCTTTAGCTGTAAACACCAATATGTTATTCATCATGCTGAAACCATTTTGAACGGATTCTTTTGAATAATGTTGGGGAACATCAAAATATCCCACAAAAAGACTATAGACACCGAAAATTGCCAGGAAACATTTCATCCAATCAGCGTTGAATGGAACTGTAAGCAGGATATGGATTAAAGCATGACTGCGTTAGCTGCACGCTGATTGCTTAAATCTAAACCGATCACCGTCAGTCGATACGTGGAGTACATTCCAGACAGATACAACACAGAATTTTGTACGTACGTACATCAGTTCAGGTTGTCATACCAAATTAGCACAGAGATATAGTTGTCAATTCAAGTCCCACAGTAGTTAGAGGTAGTAAAAGTATTAGAAGTAGTCGGAGAGATTAGGGTTCGAAGATGTTATTCAAGAAGTATAATTCAGTG